ATCGTGGTATCAGGGCCAGCATTCGCGCACCTCGACTTATTCCATGGATATCTGTCACCTCCCAACAACAATAAATACCAGGTAACTCTGTCCACCAAGATTATGACAGAAATAAGTTTAGTTAAATAATATTTTTCAAAATATTTAAACTAATCAAACATGAAAAAGTTGAAAAATGATTGGTACCAAACAGACCCTCACTCTTGTGGCCTTTTCTTTTTAATTAGTAGTCCAAGTCTCTAGCCTCATTCTGTGATCCACAACTCTAAAACTCATTTTAATTTAATTAAGTAGGAAATTGGAGTATATATTAATATCAATCTATAATTCCCCCCCTTTAATTTAGGGTTATATAAAGTTTTGTCCAAAAGCAAACTACAATTTTATTCTTTACTATAGCTAGTAGTGTCAGTGTCTTTTTTTCTTTAATCTTTTGGGTGGGGGGCCTCTGATAGGAAGGTGGGAGGATATTGGAACTAGTAAAGAATTTTGAATGAAGTACTATATAGACTATAGTAGTAAAGATAGTGATAAAATTAAAGGAAAAGGTATTCACATAATGAGCATAAAAAGGGAATATGGTAACATCCTTTTCTTCTTTTCATCTTGTCCTTTTCTTTTTGTTATCTTTCATTTCTTATATCTACATCTTTTTTAGCTCCTTTACCACTAATTCTTTTTATCTTTTCTTACTTTTTTTTTCTTTATTGTGATAGTGTAAACCATGTGACAATTAATACTTTGGAATAAATAGTGAAAACTTTACTCACATATAACATTTATACACTAATTTAATAGGTACATGACATGAGACGTTACATAAAATGGTAAAAGGTTTAATTTACCATCACATGTTATTTACTACAAAAATCGAATACATAGATGGGAAAAAGTCCATATGAGTATTGAATTTTGACATCGTTATTTAATTTATATCTGTTTTCAAAATTGTTTTGCAAGTTGGTTTAACTTCATACAAAATGTCTAAAATTTTATATGGATAAAGTTCAAGCACATATGGCTGAAGTTTGGCCATTTTTGTCTCAATTTAACAATTTTCTTGCCTGAGCTTCAGTTAGATATACCTGAAATTCAATCATTTTTATCGAAAGTTCAGGTAAAATTGATTAGACTTCGGTTATTTTTACCTAAACTTGAGCTATATGTGCCCAAGTTTAGTCATTTTTGTTTAACTTAGATCTTCTCAGTTTGAAGTTTGGACGTTCAAGAAATAATGCATGAATTTTGCCCATAAAACTTTAAATATTGATTTTTTTCAAACCATCACAAAATATTTAACAAATGGTTCGACTGAATGCAATAACTTTAACTCGAACTTGTATATATGTTGACAAATTATTGACTACTTCAACTATTATTCTTATTACTTTACGTAGTTATTTAATATTAAGGATAATATAAGAAAAAAAATCTTTTAATTTACTAAAATAAACAAATAAAATGAAATATTTATTTTCAAAATAAAAATCAACTAAAATGAAACGAAGGGAAGGGAGTAATGTATATACTAAGCCATTTCTTAATTTTCTTTAAAACATAATAAAGTGAGTCATACAATTACCAAGGATAATTAAAAGATCACTTCCTAGATACTAGTTACAAAAAGAGAGGGGGGAAAAGGCCTCTTTTTTCTTTCTCCCTCTAATGACTACTCTAATAATACACAAAATCAATTAGATTTCATATTCTTCTCTCTAGAAAGGAATAAAATAAGATATTGTTTGATGTAGAGGACTCACATATTTTCCCCTCCTTCTCCTTATGCCTTCTTCCTGTCTTTTTTTGTCTCTTTGTCTTTCTTTTGCTTTTTTCTCTTCTTGTGGGTACCTGATTCTCTTTTCTTTTTTTCCCTCCTTTTACTTTTGCCTTGTCAGAAATTATAATGATTTCAAAATGAGTACTAATAACTTATCTGCATGCAATTTATTTTATTTTTTTACTCTGAAGGCCTTCCCAAAGTGAACTCCAAATTAGGCTTCTTTGGACTTGTCTCTGTTATGCTTGAAGAGCTCACTTCTCCTGATAATCTATCATAGCTTAAACATTTTGCTTCCAAATCTATATGCTGATTTTTCACTGTTTTCTGGATAAATTAACCAAAAGAGTGAATCAATATATATGAAAAAATAATAATAGTACTATACACAATGTAAAATGTGTGAATAAAGGGAGTAAAAGAAAAAGCACAGTCTGGTGCACTAAAGATCTAGCTATGCATCGGGTCTAGGGAAGGGCCGGGTGACTAGGAGGAGTACAACAATTATTACATGATGGAAATAATATAACATGTAATTGTTATTCTTTTTAGTATTCCATCCATATTATAGAAATTAATTATTACCTAATCTAAGCAATATATTATAGTGAAATTATTAAAAAGACATCTTTTTTAGCTAGGAAAGAGTTCCTCACTTTAGTTTACAATGGCTTTTGAAAATGAGTTATGTCTTATCTTTTGTAAAAGCTTGAAATCCTTTCTATGTCATTCAACTTTTATTTACGTTATAATCATAAGTCAATCCAAATTACTATACGGATTTAACTTATATACATTCACTATTAACAGTAGTATCATTTTTAACATGTTATATCAGGTTGTCCGTCTCAATTTCTAAATAACTAACTAGTCGTTTCAATGAATCGTAACTTTGTAGCTATCTTTTTGGTTAATTATTATGATTTATTCAAATATATAACTTTTATTTCAAAAAAATTTAAAGCTTCTCCACTATGTATGAATTCACAATCAAAAATTAAAAAGTCTGAATCTCGAAATTAAGTTGAGTAAATTATAGTACCTCAAGAGATGGGATGTTCCCAGAGTAGTCACCATGTTTGCCATGCAGCTGCCAACTTTCTCTGCTGCAAAAACCATAGCAATTGAATAGAATACTTTCAGTCAGTGGAAGCCATGCATGCAAAAGAAAGAAAAAGCAGACTTAAGGAAAATGAAAGCCATCTTTTTATAAATTACACTCTTATTTAAAGCTTCCTATCTTTTTCTTTTCTATCTTTCTTCACTTAAATTATGATATATGACCCCTTTTTTGCTAAAGTTGCCACCACACATGTGATGTGAAAGCCACATTAACTACTGAAAATCAAAACCAAACTTCAAGGAAGTTTTAAGAAAATAGCTATAGACCTTTAACCTTTGGTACCAAATTAAGTTTAAAATTTAAATTTCTACATGGGACCATTTTATTACTAGCTGGATTTTTTTTTTCCAACTTTAGCACTAATTTTTAGGTCCTCTTTGAAATAGTTATGTGAGCCCACAAAATCCAAAAGAAAGAGATATGTTCATTAATTAATTCCTAGACTAATTTTGTCATTTATGGTAAACATATATTTCCAAATCTTTGAATTTCTCATATTATATTCTTCTTTAATTTAATTAATCATTTTCATCCATTGTTGCCGACAAATGGAAGATAGCAATATTATAATTCCTTCCCTCTTCTTGGAAATTGAGTAGACGCGTACACACCACCATTTCCAGATTCAAACTTGTGATGTAAGATTCAAACTTGTGATCTTACATCGGATATGTTGTTGTTCCTTTTCTCTTTTTTTCTGATCATCTTTTAAACATACATATGCTACAACTTTTTAAGATGCTCTGGTTTACTCTTTAAAGGAGAATCACTTGTCATTCCTGGCTATGATATTTTCAGTTTATAAAGTTTTAAATTCTTTTAAGATTTTCAATTGTGTAGTCTATAACTTTCATCTTTGATTCCCCTCATGAGTCATGACCCTTTCTTGTTTCTTTTTTAACTTCCTTTTAAGTCCATCCAAATAAAAGACCTAACAAGCCACAAATTTATTCCCTTTTTTTTTAATAAAAATAATACTACTCAACAAAACAAATCTTATGGCCTAGCTAGTGGACACTTCTTTTGTCGAATTTGTTAACTTTGGAGGAATACAAATTAAGAGTTCTCACGTCATACGTGGGGTTCTCAATTTTCCTTTTGTATGTTTTCCTATCATCATTAGGATCAGAATCATAAAACTATTTATATATAAACATGTCAAGTTACACAATACTAACATTGTTTACGTGTACATGCCAGGTGTGACGAAATCAGAAATTTTAATTTACTAAGGATATTCAAGATACATGTATATCAAAAGTAATTTTTAAACAACATATACAGTATAATTTTCCGTGAACGAAAAAGGTTCTTACCTTGAAGAGTTGCTCCAAAGACCATGATAATCTATCTCTTGAAGATGCATACTATTTTTGCCTAGTTGATCAGATAAATCAGACTTTCTTGAAGTTTCCATGTCAGGCATTAAATCCTCTGAAGTTTCCCCAGAAGACCCATTATCGAATACCTCAGATTGGCCTAATTAACAAATTCACATTAAAAAAAAATTATTACTATAATTTCTTTATATTTAATTTTTAAAAAATGCTTTTTTTTTAAAAATAAAGTACAAATTAATGATATTATAAGGTGATGGATATATATAAACCTGAAGAAGCTGGAACTGCTGCTCTATCAGTAGTCTTAACCGTCCTATACATCTGCAAATATATATAATCGTGAACATTAATTATATATATATATATATTCAGAGTTTAAGTTATACACATTATTAACGTGAAAGCAAGTACTCAAAAAGTATCTATGATTATACGTAATTTTGAAACTAAGACAAGTTACTTGCTACAACGATAGTAGATTTTGACTAGACTAATGTATGTATATACTCAAGCTCTTAAGCCAAAAATACATAGTACTAGTATGCATTAGTACATCTATATACATAGAAAAAAAAATGTAAAGAGAGAGTGGAATAGGCCTTTCCTATTACTGTAGACAAGATAGCTTGATGGATACAATTCTTAGTAAAGTACCTCCACATAAATCATGATGACTACCTTTTTGCTTGTGCCCCATCTACTTACCATACATGTATGTTAATATGCATGTATGTCCATGGACCATGCACCACATTTTCATACATAAACACATGTACATTCACAAATTAACTTGCACACATGACACTTTGAGTGTGCACAAGTAACACTTAAACTTATATAAAATTAAACAAGTAGACACACGTGTCTTACATGACATAATACACTTAAGACGCCACTTTGGACACAATTGCCTCGTAGGGTGCCGTGTAGGACGAATGTGTTATTTGTTCAATTTTATACAAGTTTAAGTGTCTACTTCTGCACACCCAAAGTAAAAAATCATATTTGTCAGCTAACGTCAGGTTAAGGGTCATATTTATATATTATGCATTGTGATTTTACGCACTTCGACACATAAGCATATGCACAGATAAAAATATAGTTACAACTTACACACGGAAATATCAAACATTGTTAGTATTAAAGTGTACGTTTAGTGTGTTAAAATCCACAAAAATGAGATCGATATCATTGTGACATGATTGCGTTGTACTTATTTTGGATAGAAAAATAACATTATTTTATTGTGAGGATCTCTAACCTCCAAAGTCCTTCTAATTACTACTCTAAATTTTGCTATTTGATAATCTTTATTTTCGTGCCATCTCATCCTAAAAGAATGAGATACACGTACTATCACGTGAGATATACATTTAAAACAAATAGTTGAGGTCTGATTTTTTGCTTCTATTCATCTTCACATGCCTTAAAGAGAGTATAGTCACTCTCTTTGTCACATCAGCATATAGGAGGTAAAGAAAATACGTCTAAACAGTTTAGAGTGATCTTTAGACATTTCGCACTAATTTATTAGTTATCTCATTGAAGAGTGTCTAAACTTGTCTGGCTAAGCTGCAACCCACCCACCCTACCCACCGGCCACCCCAACCCCACCTTGTACATTCTTTGGTATTTTGTCTGTCTCTAATATTGTATTATTGATGAATCATTATGAAAAAAGACTCTTTCCTCTGTTATTGAACCCCTTTTTCTTTTCTTTCTTTATTATTACTATATTCTTCTACTACAACTTCTACTGCTACTACGTACGTACTTAGATAAATGGTTCATTCTCCAAAGCAAAAATAAAACACATTATAGCCTTTGCAGAACCATCAGATCTACTATCTAGACTAGGCTAGGTAGCTAAGTAAAGAATAAAAAAACAAAACAAAATTGAATTTTTTAAAAAATGGTACATTGGAATTTGAAATGTCTGTTGATTTTAGACATTTTCTTCTAATAATGTTGCCTTCTTGTACGAATTCTAATGTAAGAAGTAAACATTTGCGAAGACTCCAAATTTTTTTTGCACCCACAGGAAATGCAAACTAGCTAGTAGTATTAAAATTCTACAATCACAAGAAAATTAGTTGAAAAAATGTACAAAATTTTACCTGTAAATGGGATTTAACATGTGCCAAAGTGAGATCTTTCACATCCATTAGCTCAAGAACTGATTTGGGTGTTGCTCCTATAAAATCCCCAAAAAAACAATGAAATTAGTTAATAGTATAATTAAATACATATTACTTCAAAGATAAAATCTCATACTTTAAAAAAAAAAATTGGTGGTAGGGAAGGAGAAATCCGAAAATCGAACTCTCACCGACAAATTCAATTAAACACTCAACAAACATAATTTAATTTAGTTTTGCATATGTATTTATGGATCAAGATGAAAGCAATAACAAGTTCCTATGAACCTTCAATGATGAGTTTATTGTAAGTGACAGAGTGGTCTTACTGCTACGATCAACTGAGATTCAGCCATTTATCACTCTGACTAGTGAAAAAAGAAAAAAACAAAGTACTAATAGAATAAAGAAGAGATAGAAAAGAAGCCTACTTTCATGGCCACCCAAGAGCTCAACAGCATGAACAAATCTGGCATGAAGACTACTAGTCCATCGCATACGTGGCGCTCTCATGGTACGTTTAGGAAACCTTGATAAAAATCTAGATCGCATTAGCCCACCTTGATGATTAGAGTGATGAAAAGGGATAGTTGTTGGTGAGGAATTAGGTATAGTTTTGTTACTATTGTTATTAAAACTAGTAATACAATAACCAGAAGAATGTATAGGTAATGTAGGTGTTGTTGCAGTAGCAGTAGTAGTAGTAGTATTTTCAAAGGTTTGGTGAGCAAATATTGGGTAGTTATTATGATGATGAGAAAGAGGAAGAGGGTTTTGATGGTACAATGGAATTCCTCTTATAGGTCTCAAGAAACTAAGTTGTTGTTGTTGATTTTGTTGGTGGATGAAGTTTGTGTTTTGAAGGGGATGGAAATGGGAAGAGTTAATTAACTGAGTATGAGAAGGTTTATAATTAGGATTAGATAAAGAAAGCTCAAAAAGAGTATTGTTGTTATCAGGTTTTGATTCTAAAGCTCTTCTCAAGAAGAATAAGTCCATCTCATCTCGATCAGTATTGTTGTTATTACTACTCGTTGTCTTCCATGTTGTTGTTGTTGATGATGATTTGTTGTTTGGAGGACTTATTTGTAAAGATAAGTCTGGTTGTGCTGGGAATAGCTCCATATATATACTTCTTCTCTTTCTTTGCCCTAGCGCGTTGCGCTTACTAGCAATTTATGTTGTTGTTGTTGTTGTTTCTTGTGTTTGTTGTGTTGATCAAATGAAAGGTAGTAGTAAGAAGGAATTTGAGATTGAGTTTTAGAGAGAGAGAGAAATGACAAAGGATGAAGATGAATTGATGAATGGTTGTTTCTTTTGTGTGAAGTATATGTGAGAAAATGACACTTTGAGAGGCTAATGTGGGGTAAGGGGGTGTAGGGGGTAGAGAGGAGATTGTTCCTTTTTGTGGACGTGGGGGTAAGATGAGAAAAGTGAAGAAAAGATGAATAAGGAAAGTTAAATAAGTATTTGGTGAAGAAAAAAAAAAGTTTTGGGGCTTTGTTTTCTTTTTTACTTTTTCTTTTTAACCCTAAGGTCCCTAGAATTCTTTATGGAAAGAAAAAGGAAACTAATTTTAGTGTAAGCTTTAACGTATGCATTTGTCGCTTAATACTAATTAATTTCTAATTCAATAAACCTATATATATTCACTTGACCTAAATATGAAGTACTATTAGACAATGTCCTACTCTTGATTGTGTTAGTTCAATTTCTACGGACATTGATAGTTGACTAATTACTTGTAGTTACGGGTCCTAGTTCTAAAATGTTTTTATATTTTTTCCTGTTATATCGATTCATACGAATAACAAAATGTACGATTAATTTTTGAGTCGATATCCCTCGTGTTCTATTATGAAGTATTTAAATTATGTAAATAAGAGTGTGTGTATATATGACCATTATTATAAGGTTATAAGTTAATTTATTATTTCAGAGATTTATCTATAGATGCTTTATAAGTAACATGATCGTTCAAACTTTTTATACCATCGCTATTAAAATTTCAAATAAAACACTAACCCAATAAATGGTTGTTGGTAGAAAAACAATAAATACTTAATGTTTCTATATAATCATATGAATTTAATGTGTTTAAGTGAAAAATTAATAATAAGAATGTGTATTAATTAATTGTATGATTTATTGATAATAGTGATCAATGATTACGTGAATTGCTTAAATAATCTCAATCAGCTGATACTTTCAACAGTTATTCGTTCTGCACTTGATTATCCAACGTTAAATATATGTGTAACATATTTATCCAACTAATGTAAATATGAATGTGAGTGAGTTTTTGGCCCCTTTTTAACTCCCTCCCCCAACGAACCCTAGATTTGTAGATCTTACAATTAACATGAAATGATTAAACATAAAATTCGACCTACTAATGGCTGAAAATCACCTAATTAATTATGGTAACACATTTTGGTTAATTTCATTGGGATAAGATACAACTCATAAATTATTTGCCGCTTCCTTTTTACACTAAAATTTATTTCCTACAAGTTCAGTGTACTTTGGAAAGGCCTCAGTCAAATGGTCCTTCAAATTAAAGTCAATGAAAAAGTTAAAACTTCAATTTATCTTATTCTTTGGCCCTTCAATTTTATGGACTATTTTACTTTGCTCCAAATCATTTTGAACTCATTAGGAAATAAGAAACTATCTTTAAATGTAACTGTAGACAATAAAATTCGCATCGAGAAAACAATAGTCAAGAACGAAAAAATTATCGCAGCAATCGTTTTATTATTTCAAAGTGCGAGTGTTACAATCTCTATGATTCCTCTGAATTCGCCTTTTAGAATATAAATTCAAGGGCTCTTGAGCTTGTTCTTGAATTTTGTTCTTGTTCTTTGACTTTAATCTTGGATTCAAGTGCATTTGGAGCTTGTTCTTGAATCTTTGATGAACTTGGACTTTACTTTATCTTGATATTGAACTTATTATAACTTTAACTTGATCTTGATCTTTATCTTGATCTTGAACTTGAACTTTATCTTGAACTTGACTTCTAGTTGAATCCAAGGGCTTCGAGCTTGATCTTGAATCCGGCGGTCTTTATCTTCATCGTTCTTGAACTTGAACTTTATCTTGATCTTGACTTCTAGTTGAATCCAAGGGCTTCGAGCTTGATCTTGAATCCGGCAGTCTTGATCTTGATCGTTCTTGAACTTGAACTTTATCTTGATCTTGACGTCTAGTTGAATCCAAGGGCTTCGAGCTTGATCTTGAATCCGGCAGTCTTGATCTTGATCGCTCTTGAACTTGAACTTTATCTTGATCTTGACTTCTTCAAATCCTCAATTCTTAAACTTGAACACTTGAATTCTTGAATTCTTGAACTCTCGAGTTCTTGAATTCTTGAACTCTTGAGTTCTTGAACTTATAGCTTGTAGAGAAATTTGTGGCTTTTGATCCACGAGCTTTCTCTAGCTTTTTATTTAGAATTCTTCGTTCTCTTTCCTGAATTATGAGGACCCCTATTTATAGTTTTAGAATAGGGGAGTTGCGATATGAAGAGGACTACCTTTGGCCAATCAGATTTAAGTGACATGACATATGGGTTTTATGGAGCGGGCTTTAATTAAATCTATATTTATTAGATTTAAATAATTAACTCAA